ACAACACAGTCGCTGTTCTGTCAAGACAGTAGAGATCTAGATGATATTGCCATGGTTACAGACTGTCGTTTGCACAAATAGTCGAAATTTTGTCCTTGAACAGATTAAACAGCCATTCAAGCTGAATTTCATTACCGTGTTTTGGTTGGTTCTTGTTTCACAAACATTTTTCCTCTTGATATTAGCCAATTTCTCGTATTTCTAAATATCTTATTATCACTGTTTTTCCAATTTATTAAATTAGCCCAGAAACATTAACTTGAAAGAATTTATTATGGTTCTGGTAAGGCTGTTCACAAATCCAGCCTCAGCGTTCCAGTGGCAGAGAGCTCATAATGACCAGAATGGAAGGAAGGAAATAAATGTGACAACAGGGCGAGGCTTTGAAATTATCACGGATAGTCATATACTCTGAAACGAATAATTAGAATGGAAAGATTGCAGGCGAACTTCCTAACTAAACCCAAACTGAAACACTGTGAAATATTTTTGTCATACCGTCTACTCTTTGAATGGAAGACGACTGTTCATAGGTGAAAAGAACTGAACATCTGATAAGCAATTTATATACGAAAATAATACTGCTCCCGCGGCTTTGAGACAGCGTGAACTGAGCATCTGACAAGATTATGTTGTCTAAATTTGCATAGTAATTTGGTTGTTTTTTTTTTCTGAACGGAAAGTGAACTTTACCATTATTTGATGCCACGAATAATTAGTAATCGTTTTAATGCAACTTCTTTGCGACTAGGCAGCTCTGCAACCGTCAACCTTTCTGAGAAGTCTACGGACACGACACGATGATTTCATAATGCCTTCGATGGGGGAACCTGATCGCTCGTTCTGAATGTAGTTGGAATATCTTTCTCTCGACAAGTTTCACATCAAGGAAAATGAAACAATGTTATTCTTCAGCTCATCGTTGAGGCAGACTTGCTTATGAAGAAGATTATGACCTTGCAACAGCAGTGAACGTTGTCTAATATCAATTTGAGGGACCATTTCTAACGCTCAGACGTCGTAATTCTGGATTACTCTGCTGTTTAAGCTCTGTTAATCTCAGATGGCGATGACCAGGCCAAATTTCCTACCAGTTTCATTTATTAGACAGCTTAGAGAATAGGTATTTAGGGCTTTAATGAACACCGCTCTCTTCTTCATTTCGCTCAGATACAATGTACGTTATTTCAGTCTCAGCTAACGCTCCAGTTATGAATGTATAAGAGCGTTTTCACTGTCCAAGTTTACCTCAGGCGATTATTCATGTACGGACTTAGAAAATTTAGTTGTTTACTGTAAGAGTGCCAATTTGATGTCTTTGGTCCAACAGTGTCTCAAGCAGTCGGTATATTAATAAAAGTGTCATGATAGTAATTTTCGTTTTCTACACCTAACTCTCGTTCACCTAGGTATGACGCATCACAAAAGGAACAGAAAAATGCATTTGGCCATGTTCCTATACTTCTCATAATATGGCACCATTTTAGGCACCCTTGTTTCGAAAGGCCACTGTCGGCAATCTTCATAACATAACTTCGATATCGCAACAGAAAATATGCTGCTTTTAAAGCAATATTTGCTTTTGCATAATAAGCCCAGCGTAGAGTCCTCTGTTTTCTTTTGATAAATGTTTATTTGCATAGAAAGGTTGAGAGAACATATCCCTGATCAGATTCGAATCCGTGGCTGTGTAACCGTAAACTCTGGGATGAGCCCAACCATAACTATCGGTTTCATATAATTCGATCATAAGTTAATTGGTCAAGTGTTGCATCTGAAAAATCCCATTTATGTCCATGGGTTCATTGTAATCGTTTCCATATCACGGTGGTCTTTTGCGATCACTTTCAGATATGAATAATGTATCTATATTACTACTTTGCAGTTATTCTTCGGCTAGAATTATGATTCACTCGAACTCAACTCAAGCAAAAGTAGGTGTATCGTACTAACAGTTGTAAAACTGCATAAGTTCGATGTTGTTACTGATATGCGACAAAATATTTAGAATGAACAGAATTTAAGAACAGAGGACATCGTCAGCACTATTTCTCGTCATGGCCGTTCATTGGCTGTCATACTCTTGTCTGGGATTCATTACTACACTGGTGAATACCTAGACATCGAAGCAGTGACCAAAGCTGGCCATGCACAGGTAAATTCTGTGAAAGCAGCATGACATACCAATTTTTCGCTCAGCCTGTAGTCGTCGTTCCTTTTCTCTGTTTTAATCTCTGTTGCTGATATGATAACTTAAAACTTGTGAACATGATGATCCCGCAAAGTCAAACCATTGCCGTCAGTGATAAGCGCGAATATATTAGAGATTTAATCTCTTGTTATTTTTTTTGTGTGCATGCGCAGTTACTCATAAGAAATTCCTAGGAGAATCGTTCGTATCGAGATACTCAGTGGTTCGTTAGTTTTCGATGTATTGCTCTCACCGTGTTACTGTGGCTTCCATAAGAGGGAATCAGAAGACGTTTCCTTGAAGAATTGCCGTTGCGTGGAGGCCCGGCGAACCTTCGAATCCGAGTCACTTTCCCTTATAGTCAGACATAAATTTGTGCTATGGTGCTGTTCTTAGCTTTAAATGACTGATTACGCAATCATAATAACTCCATTCATGCCCCGCGACATTTGCTGGGCTTATCCACTTGATTAGAATCGTGAGGTCGAAATTTCTGCGTGAGATTCTTTTCCCCAGTCGCAGCAATTGGAATTAATGCAGCCGGAAGTTAATTATGAAAATGTTTTGCATTAAAGGGAGATAGGAACCTTAAGGAAAGGTTTCTGCAACCTAGCTGCTTTGTGACCGGCAAATAATAACTGAGAGGTGTACAGAAACAATTTACAGATGCTTGACAACAATAAGCTGTTATCCTATTAAGCGTTAAACCAGTCAAATCCATATAGTGTTTTCGCTCCAAATTTAGGTACTTGCTGCGAACGCGTTTTAAAGATAAATGCAAAATATTAATCCACAGTTTTTCCATTCCATATGTAGATGTCCATCCACCATATAAATTAATTCAGTTTGTACAGCACAGAGCTTCCAGTCTAAAAATTTCAGGTTCGAAGCCTGGTACGGTCCCTCGATTTACATCTATTTGAGAGAGATATTGAGTTTATAAATGTTCCCTTCTCCAGCAATTGAATCGAAATCGGCAAGTGTTCATCTGTGGGCTCAACAAAAGAAGTTTTTCGTAATTATTGCCTACCATGGATATGTGAGAGTTGTCGACATCTGAAAGATCAAAGGATTTGTTTCATTGTTTACACTTTCTGTATTCATTATAAAGTAGTAAAATTTTGCATTCCTCAGCTTGCTTTTGCCTCGTTAGCCGATCACTGTTGGACGTCCGGCAAGCCGTATTTATTTTCTTAGTGACTGAAAGGAATGGAGCATGTTTCAATCTGGAATGCGGTTGGTTCACGTCCCAACATGAACTTGAGGCTCGATTTATATTCATAGTTCAGTGCAATTTTATAATACTGTTTATTACATTAATTTATCGATATATTTCGCAGACGTCAGTGCACGAAATTAGATGCATGTTCTTTCTTTGCATCTATATCTTATATTACTTGTAGTGTCTCTCTGCATGTTTTAAGAATTCTGAATTTAAAATGGTCTGATTTTTGATCTAAGTACTTAATTATATACATTTATTTAGGGTTGCATAGTTAGTTGGGACTTGGCGCATGCGGCAGGCAACGTGCCACTTAAACTACATGACTGGAACGTCGATTTTGCGGTGTGGTGCACGTACAAATATATGAATAGCAGCCCTGGTGGAATAGGAGTCGCTTTTGTACATAACAAGTTTTCGGCAGAGCTGCGTCCCAAATTATGGGGTTGGTGGGGCCATGATCAAAAGTCGCGGTTCGAAATGTCCAATCGTACGTTAATAGCAAGTCGTCTTAGACTGTGTCATTGATACCTTTTTCAGGTATGGAATTTGCTGAATTTCCGGACTGCTTTAGAATCAGTAACCCTCCAATGCTGCTGTTATGTCCCCTGATGGCAAGTTTAGAGGTACGGCTTAGGCATTGGTATAATTCTGACTGATAGAAAATTTTGAGCAGTTTCGTTCGTGATACGC